ATAAGCAGCAGCATCGATCCATTCTGAATAGTCTAAACTGACAATTTGCCATGCTGATAACATTGACGTTTGCAAATGAGTCGAAACATTTTGACCCGGCAACAATATTGAATTTAATGGTACAGAAAGTAATTCATTATTACTAATAAGCAAAAAACAAATATTGTTTCTAAAAAAAAAACCTTTAAAATGTTACTTTGCATGTGCACAACCCGCATATAATGTATCATTTAATATAGATGATGCAAATTCACTTGCATTTGACCAATGTCGGTAACAAAAAATATTTTCATCTCGTGTTGTCCATACTCTATGAAAAATAAAATAGATATGAAAAATAAAACTCGCTATTTCTATTATAGATTCTTCTTACGTCCATGATTGTTTATTTTTTAAACTAACTGCAATTAAATGTTCAGAATTTCTCATGAATTTGACATCTTGTATAGCTGTATCTTCAACGAAAAATCTTCTTACAGGATAAATTAATGAACAATTGGTTGTCTAAAAAAAATGACAAAGAATAGAACTCTTTTCTATTTATTTTTGAAACCTACTTGTTCAACAAGTGATTTTGAATTCACTTCCCACATAAGTACAATACCATTTTCATAACCAGCACATAATTTATTTGGATTTTCATGACACCAATCAAGTGCTGTACACGAACCATATTCAGCACAACCAATACTACCATCTTTACGTCGATTAAGTGGTGGTACAAGTTGTGCACCACTATTTATTGTACATAGGTTTCTTGATGCACCATGCGGTACACCAAATATAATAACAATGCCTTGACTTGTGCCAATAGCTAAATAACTTAAATATGGATCATTAATAGTTGGACGATCTGGTAACCATTTTAAACATGTGACTTGACCGAAATCAGCGGCAACAGTAACATGTAAATTAGGTACATGTAAACTTTGTCTTAAACGGCCACAATTAAGTATTAACAGTAATGTTGAACCTGGTGGCGAACGTCGATCAGGATTTGTATAACTTCCGTGTAGTTGATTATTTGTATCATATGACCATTGTTCAAGTGCTAATGCAACATATTGACTACCGACTATATCAACAGCACGTGGTAACCATTCAATACAACGTATAGGACGGCCAACATTTAAAACAATAACATGTGAAGCAGCAAAACTATCTAATGGATTTAGAAATCGATCGCACGAAAGCATCTTAAGAAAAAGAAAATGATACTTCAATAGAGAAATTCTTTCATTTATTTATATTTACTCGAACACGTAAACAACTAGCACCGTTACTCAAACAAGCAGCTGATTCATTTTCAGGTATAAGTTGTCCGATGGTTGTCGCTGATGCCGAAAATGGTATATGACCATTCATAGGAAATTTATAACGAGCAAATGCGGCACGAAATGCCCGATCATTAATACGACATGGATCGTCTAATAAATATTTGTTTTCCTATTTTTGTTTTACTTATTAATTTATTTAAAAAGTTCTACCTGGACATGTATCATGTGAATCATCATGATAGAGTTCAAGATGATCACAAACACTGCTCACAGATGAAAACGGAATGCCACAAAATTTACATACAGCCATAACTAAATAACAATAATAATGTTGAACACTCGAGAAAAAAAATAAATTTCTCTCTTACCAGGTCCTAATGGACAATCAGTTTTTAAATGTTCTTTTAATTTTTTTAATGCTGTAAATTGCGTTTTCCCTCGACATCGATGACATTGAACAACGCCTTCAGTACGTAAACGTGTATTTATTTCTTGTTCTTGTTCAGGTAATAAGGTATCAGTTGCAAATTCAATATGCTTTTTGAAAAAAAAACAAATGAAGAGTAAATTAATAAATCTAAGAAAATTTTGTTTCTTGTTTGACTTACTTCTCTCATTCTTGAACGTGCTAATTCAGCTAATTCACTGCTTATATCAACACCGCGTGGTGATCGCATTCCGCTTGCTTTATGTGGATCACTCTAATGTTTAAATAAAAATAATGAAATATAATTTCAAATGTCTATTTAATATGTCGAGTATAACTTTTGATTATTATAGAATCACTTGCCAAGTGATTTGAAGACTCGAATGAAATATTTTCTTTGAAATCAATATTCTAAATTTTACCTAAGCGCTCGCTATATTTTAAGAACATAAAGATTTGATTTATATTTTTCATACATGACTATTTTATATAGATTTTAAACAAATATTTTACTTTTACAAGTTGTTCATTGATCATAATTGGATTGTTCATTGTCGGAGTTAAAGCTAGACCAGTAGGATTTAAATGTGTTTGTTTCGTATAACTCGCTATAGGTGTTGGTCCATCAGAAGATTTTGTTTTAGGTGGTCGACCACGTTTACGCTAGCAAAAATAATTCACAATAATAAAAAACAATCTATGAAAAACTTAAACGTTAAATATACTTTTGGATCATTATCATTTAGTTCTGATTTAATTATTGGTAATGACATATGTTGATTGAGCATTGTCGATGGAATATTATAATTGTCCATAGTACGTGGTGATACACCTGATGCCATCGTCATCATAGAATTCATCATTTGTGGTGGTGTTATATCGTTTGAATTTTTCTTTTTCTTTTTCGATTTTTTTGAATTTGATGTTTCACCCAGTGTTGGCAGAGCTGGTTTACGTGATACATCTATTTTATCTGTTGCTACGGCACCACCTTCTTCGGTACTCTTTAAACAAGAAAAAAGAAAAAAAATTTGAATCTTACAGAGCAAAACATCAAATCTTACATGTCGAGCTAAATGTGTACGTAGTGAACTTCGATCAGCTAATTCACTTCCACACATTAAACAACGAAAAAATGCTTTTGGATACGGTGACTTCGTACATGAATTATATAAATGATAACGTATGCCTTCTTTAGAAGCAAAATCAACTGTACAAAATGGACAAACAAAACGTCCATCACGAAATGTTGCTTGTCGAATAACATTAAAATGTGGCAAATCAGGATAAGAAAAAAGACCTGATTGATGTCGTATATGTGACCATGCTTGCGGTATAGGTATAAGTGCTAACATATCGCGATGAATTTCTGCAATGTCATGTTGAGTTTTAACTGGTGGTACTTGTGATTGTGGTTGATCAACATCATTTGGTGTTATTTGTGCATCTGTATCCATAATATCCATAGGACCTGACGATGGTGATATAGTAACAAGAGGTAATTGTGATTGTTGATCGAGTGACATTGTTTCGTTTGTTAGTTGTTCTTGTGATGTTACTTGTTGCTCATTATTTGTTTGATCGTGTGTTGAAATCATTCCAACAGATTCATCATTTGGATTATGATCTACTGTTGCACCACCCCCAGTAGCTATTAAATGCATGAGACCACTTGAATCGATTGCATTTTGTTGATGATGATCGTCGGTAGACCTGAAAAATAATGATTAATTCCTTGATAGAAGACTTTTGAAAATTATTTACCATGGCCAATCATTGACAGTTGGCTCCTGTTGTTGTTGTTCTTCTTGATGGTTTGATGATGTTTGATGAACCTCATCAACTGAAGATAAATCATTTGAAGGCGAATCTGGGTCAGCCATAAATATGTATAGTCGGTTTTACAACATTTGTGTTTTATTGAATTCCTAATAAATGATCGCATAATGACAGTTTAAAAGGTTATCAATACTGATGTTCAATAGAAAGGGATAATATGAAAACATTTTCTTTCTTGGTATTTTTTCTTTCTTATTCTTTGTTCTTTTATTTTTTCTCTTTTTTCTTGTCACATGACTTTTCCGAAAATCCAGAACAGTGTAGAGACAAAAAGAGAGAGAGAGAGAGAGAGAGAGAGAGAGAGAATAAGAAGAAGAAGAAAAAGGCCCACATTTCGCATTTTCGCCCTTACTTTTCTTCTCATCGCTGTGCTTGTCTGTCCCTCTTTTTCACTCTCGCACAGATGTTAAATATCCTTTTTCTGCGTTATTGATGACTGTCATCATAACTATTACTATATACTTGTTCGTTCTTCTTTGCGGAGGAAGCCGGGAGAAGGAACAAAAATGAGTTGGAAAAGAATCAATACGAGCGAATAAAAAAAAGAAAAAATATCTTCTTGGCTAATAACTCTAAAACAGCGTACAAACCGACGAAAGTTGAGAGAGAAAAAAAACAAGAAGAAAGAGGAAAAAGGGACGCGCTAAAGGTTATTGTTGTGCCATTTACGTTACATGTCAAACTCTTTGTTTTCGAAATGAAAAAGTTAATTTTTTTCAAAGTTTATTTTCAGTTTTTATTAAATTAAGAATACGTTTTTAAGACGACAAGTATACATTATGATAGTATTACAAAAGTGCATAAGCGCATTATAGTTTGATTGGTTTCAAACAAACGAATAATAGGATAGATGTCAGTTACCATGAGTCATAACTCGTGTGTTAACCCGGTACAAACGAGAGAAATCAGTCACGATTAAAAATAGGAAGAAAATCATCTTGTAAATAACATTGTCATACGCAGACGAGATTGTATTTTGAAAGTTTGTACATGAAGTAATGAACAGGTTCTACGAGCTCATTTCAAAAACATATTTATATTTACAAATCAAATAGAAGTTCTAACAGCTTATTCTAAAATCTCAAGAGACTAATTATCATACTCATAAGGAAAACTACTTTAGATAAGTCTTCATTCACTAGATAAATTCAATCGATATTAAGCAAGACCAAAGGGACTCCTATTGATGTATTTTCTTCTTACTTTTTTTAAACACAGAGCCAGATTTGTGCAAGTATCTGCATACTACGTATAAGAAGAAAACAAACTTCTCGTTGTACCATAATAGAATATTCAATATTAATTTCAGAGTATTGACCTTTCCAAATAAGATTTTGATATTCAAACAACAGGTTTATTTCCCTTAGAAATTTGTATTAATCTGAAAAAAGATAATAGTAATTTGAGTAATAAAATTTTTAACAAAAATTTTGAATTTATTTTTCAGAAAACAAGTTATGCGTGTTCCTTACACATCATCAATTTCACAAATAAGTAAATTTCTACAAAATTTAAATGACTATCTTGATTCTGGTGTATACTGTGATTTAACATTTATAATTGATTATGAAAAATTCCCATGCCATCGTATAATTCTTGCTAGCGCATCGCCTTATTTTCAAGCATTACTCACACATAGATTTAAAGAAAATGATCTCAATTCAATTGAACTACGCGATATTGAACCTAAAATATTTTCGTTACTTCTTCATTATATTTATAGTGGTAAAATAGACATTGATAATAGTAATGTACAAGATATTTTAATCGCTAGTGATATGCTTCAACTTGATGAAGTTGTTCAATTTTGTTGTCATTATTTATCCATTAGTTTAAATGAAACAAATGTTATTGATACATGGAAAATAGCCGATGAATTAGGTTGTTTATCGTTAAAGGAAAATGCAGAACATTATATATTAACAAATTTTTGTAATTTAATTAAATTTGATATGATTAAATCCATTCCACATAATCTATTGATTAAAATTATTTCTAATGACGATCTAATTATTGATAATGAAGAACAAGTTCTTGAAGCTATATTAATATGGTTTTATCATAATCATGAACAATCATTTGAACAATTATTTGATAGTGTTAGATTTGAATACATTTCTAAAGAACATCAAAAGAAAATTTTACATCAAATTGGATTTGTATGTCATCATGATTTTCAAATCGATTTTTAGCAATAGTTGAAGTTTCAGAACCAAGTCTTAGGTTTAACTATAGAATGATAAGAGCGTGTCGTGAAGAATGAATAACTTTTCTATTAGTTCATTAACAAAAGTTAGTGTTATTTTTGCGTCATGTATCATTGAATTGTGTAGCATTATGATAGAGCAGTGTAAATAGATAGAAATAAATTACTGGTCGAATTCTTAGAAGAAAAATATCGAAAACTAAATAGAAGTGATTTATCATACTTGTGAGAGAAATCTCTTCTAGCTAAGTAAACGCATTTGTAATCGAGCTTAAGTGCGTCGTGTACAACGGCATACGCCGTGAATATGTAATTTTATCTAGAAAAAATTGTATATGTATATAAACCGGCCTTGACAAGAGCAGTTACTCATAAAATTTACAATTCTATTGATTTTTATTCTATAATAAGAATATAAAATCTGTTAGTTCACAGGAACTATGCAAACGACACGGTTCTATCATAGTTGTATCTTAGCATAGAAATAACTAAAAGAATCTGTTACTTTGACGAAAAAACAAACTATCCTCAACCAGAAAATAAGTTCGATTCTTGGTATGATGACAGTCATTTAAAAGTATAACTTAAAAGTGCAATGTCTCTGCATCGCAATAAACTAATAATATGAATTCACTTCAGGATATTCATAGCGCAATTTCCCCTTCATCGTGTGTTTATGTCGATTTAAAAGTAATCAATCAGTTAAAGGACATCCATCATGAGGCTTCTAGTTTCTGTTAATATGAAAGATACTTTTTATTGATCATTTATATTCTGCTACTAAGATACCCTAGAAAATTTTTCATAAAAATATTATAATAATGGAGTCATAATTGCTTGTAACTTTTAGAGTGTCTCATGTGGAGTAGTTTCCGGTATGAGTTCAGTAGATTCTTAATATTATGAATTAATTCTAATAAAGAATAATCCTTTTTTACAATACTCATGAAGTAGGAAAAGTATAAGGCGTTCAATAATAATTTTAAAATAGTTGACGTCACTGTTATGTTCCGTTGTTCAGACATCATCGTAATACATTAAGTCCCTATATATCTATATAAATAATAGGATAATCAACGATGTGTGAGCGAGGAAGATGAGTACTGAAAGCTTTCATCATATTCTATTGTTGCTTTCAGACTTCATCACACGCTGCATAGTTCCAATGAATATCTTCGTTTCTTAAGAAAAAAAAAGAAGCTAGAAAATGTATTTTTCTCTTTAGGAAAATCCATCCATAATTCATCGTATTGAACAAATAATAACTAATCGAGAATGTCGTATCAATAACAGTCCAGTAAGACGTGGTATGAGACAAACATGCTATCTGTTTGGTGGTTATGGTTCCAGTATAGACGATGATAATTCACATCTATTAGCAGCATCATATCGTTGCCATTTAGATATTAATGATTCATCGCCATCATCCTATTCAATTGAAATTGAACAAATTTCTGGCGACGAAATGCGTTATCCACGAATGCATCATCAAACTGCAGCACTTGGTAGTCTTATTTATATTGTTGGTGGTGAAGACGGTGATAATATATTTAATTCTGTTGAAATATTTGATTCATTATCAAAAGTTAATAATGAAAAATGGAGACAAGGAAATTCAATGATAACACCAAGATGTAATTTTGGTTTAGTATCATTAGATTCTACAACATTATATGCTTTAGGTGGTCACATTGGAGCTGATATAACGTCATCTATTGAAATGTTCAATAGTCAAACAGGTCAATGGATAGTATTACCGTATAAATTAAAATCTCCATGCTATGGTTTTGCTTGTGTACAGTTAAATGGTTTAATAATATGTATTGGTGGTTCATGTATATTTAATTTACCGGTTAAAACAACAGAAATATTTAATCCTCGAACAGGACAAAGTTATTTATGTACAGATATGAATGAAGCACGAACACTATGTTCAGCATGTGTTGATGATGAACACGAGAGAATCTATGTTTTTGGTGGTGCTGATGCTAATGGAAATAGTTTACGTTCCGTTGAAGCTTATAATTCATCAGATTGTCGTTGGTACAAATTACCATCGATGCTGTTCAATCGTATTAGTCCATGTGTTTATCGTATTGGCTATTACATATTTGTTTTTGGTGGACGAACAAGTTTAGCACATCACTCTGAAATATTGAATACAGCTGAAATATATCATATCGAGAAAAAAACATGGATACGAACAAATGATGTACCGATTCATATATATGGCGCAGCAACTGTTCTTCGATGAAATTAACTTTTTTTTTCAATTCTGTTTTCTTTTCTAATTTCTAGTGTTATTTATGGCAGAAATTCTCTCTGCATATGTAAATATATTTTTGTTTCTTTTGTTACAATAAAATTGGTATGATTGTTATAATTGCATTGAAGCAATGTTTCATTGAGTTCCATCCGGCATGTATCCTTGTTGGACACTATTTGACGTCGTCTTGTTTATTGATATTACGAGTAGTAAGAAAATGCGGAAATAGGAAAGAAACCATGTACTACAAGTACAATCTCTGGAAGGCTGTCAGAAGAAAAAGGATTGATCATTCAATAAGAGATTTTCTTCGTAAGAAATGATGATGGCATCGACGGGTGAAAGAACAGAAAATAACAGAACAACAAAAAAGAAAGCAGAGGAGCAGACGCAAATGCAGAAGTAGACTCATTCTGTTAGATTTTGCACAGGGTAGGAAAAAACATCCATCTCATATATCGTCATGGTAAATCATTATTTCTTGCTGACATGTTGTCGACGTCGTACCTCGTTCGATGCATTTAGAAGAACAGCCAACAATGTGACCCTGCATCGTTACGCTGCATGTTTATATATCGAGTAATCTAGAATTCTCCGAGTACACTTCATCGACTATGTTGGTTTCTTGCATGAATTTTCGAACGTTTATTTTTTGAATGAAAGAAATTTTCTGGGTCACTTTTTACCATCGTCAATCAATATTTAGATTGTTCTCATGAAGAACTGCAATATTTGATATGGCAACTGAACAACAAGGGAATTCAAGTGATATTTGTCAAATTAATGGCGTTCATGATCAACATTTAAATCAGACTGGTGATGACAAAGTAACAAATTCTTCCGATGCGACATCTCGTCATTCACGTTTTTTTCGAACGAAACGAAAACAACGATTAGGCGAAAATCTAACGAGTGTAAATGGTATAAATTTTCAGAATCTATAATAAATAACTGTTCAAACTCATGTTTAGGACAAATCAAAATAGATATTCCAATTGACCATGTGTCAAAGTCTTTAGAAAAACTCAAAATACGATCTTCATCCCCACTTCCTTCATCATTAGCGGCCACCGATGATTCAGACGAAAGCGATGAAAGTAATCCTGGAGTAGATTTCGAAAAAATACCAAAAATAGATATAACTCCAGCACGACCATCTATCATGAGTATTAATACTGGTTTTCAATTAAAAAAGTCTCATTCTGCTAAACTAACACGTGCCAATGAAAATGAATCATGCCCAAAGAAAGCCGTTCGTTTTGCCGATGATTTTGGTCTAGATTTAAGTCAAATTAAAGTAATTAAAACCGATGAATTACCCTATGTACCTCGTGCAGCATTTAAAGATTTACATGTTACTGATGAATCAAATTCATCGGGCACGCGACATCAAGAACCTTCGAAATTAATAACTTATATGGACCAACAATTTTCAAATCCTATATATGCTGCAGATTTTAACGATCGTGTATCTCGGCAGAAAATTATCCTTGAACAAGCGAGTAAGTCTATCAAATAGAATAAGTTCAAAAGAACAAAAATCTTTTATTTTTTTAAACGATTATATTTTAAGATGCCATTGACAATCGTATTTATGGAACAATCAAATTAGTTTCATTTAGTTTACAAAAACGAGTGAAAGTTCGTTTAACAACCGACAATTGGATATCATTTCAAGATCATGAAGCAACCTACATTACGAATTCCTATGATGGTACTTATGATCGATTTTCATTTACGATCGAAGTCGATCGTTATAGGATATGTGCTGGAAATAATATTCAATTTTCTATTTGCTACACATCCTTTGCTGGCCCCGAACTTTGGGATAATAATTATGATCAAAATTATCGATTCGATTGCTTATCAAGAACCATACCTGATTATAGAGTTTAAGAAGATATCAGGAGGTATTCTGTTAACTCCCTATCGATATGTAGAGTTTTATACGTATGTTTATTTATTTATTTTATTTTTGTCCATTTCATCCCGTTCGTTAGTGTTACATAGGCGCTACCATTTATCACATTTGTCTATATATATATATATAGTATTTTTTTCCTTGATATATTTAGAATATTTTCGTTTCTTTTTTTTTTAATTTTGTTTTGTATATTAAATATACAACAAAAACAAAACTCAATTAGAAAAATGAATTTATTTTGACTGTTGAATACGTTCAATTAGTGTATCGCATAAATTTTGATTACGATGTTTATGCTTAACACTACGAACTTCATTAATAAATGGTTCTGATGCATTTTGAAGTTGAGTTGCGAATTGATAAATTGTATCTAAATATTAAAGAAAATGATAGTTTTTGTATTCTTTCGATAGAAGAAAAGTTTTCTTTACCAAAAACAGCATTTTGAACTTGACTATTTTGATCGTCCATATGTATTAATAGAACTTTTGCTATATCTTCAAGATGCGATCGATAAAGATCAACAGTGAAATCTCCGTGAAATGCTTGTACATAGGCATTTAATGTTGAACACATTGCAAGACGAATATCATCCGATACATCATCTAAGCGTTTCAATAAATCTGGATAGGATTTATGTAAACGATCATTATCAATCGTACGAATAGCATCGTCGTTGGAAAAAAGTGCTTGCAAAACATAACAACTATTCATTCGTGTTAAACGATCGTCATCATCTAACATTCCTAATACAGCAAGAAGAATTTCTTTTGTTGACAATGCACACTAAAATTTAGAACGAAATATTTATCTCAAACGGAAATAAATTTCTTTTTCAGATTATTTTCGATTATAAAATAAATAGATTCAGATTATTAAGTGTAAACTATTTCATTGTAATAGAAGATCAGCTAGTAATTTAAGTTATTCAATTCTCATGTATTAGAATGTACTTATATTTTCTATTGTATAGGTTGAGTCATCAATGAACTTGATGTGTTGTAAAACAAACTTATATGACTTGAACTGCATAGACTTTATGATTCCTTGTTTTTCGTGTATCTATCGCTCATGCAATTGTTTCGCATGCTCGTGAGCTACGATTGTGGAAAGACTAGGACATCTAGAATCTAATCAAGGATCGGTTAAGCAATCTTTTCCTCATAAGTGACAGCTTTCATCTTTTATGAATTCAAAGTAGATGAAAACGAATCATTATTGTCATTAAAATTCTAACGACTAATTAAAAACTTATCTCACTTTATTGGTATTATAAATTAGTTTCCTAAAGCTTTTTATAAGACGAAACAGATGTTTTTCTGTAGCATTTCATTCTTGATTTAGGTTATTACCGGTCATTATTTATGTCACAAATAATTCAAGATTTCAGATGTACTCCGTAATTATTGTCAATTAATTATCAGCGTTCATTTTTTATTTCTGCTAGCAATAATAGACTGTTGCGCTTTATTTTAAAAAGAACTATTAGAGCTAACTTGATTGTGTCAGTATCCTTAATAAAAAAAAACTATTCTATTCCCTTACTTGTTCAAAACTGAATGATTTTGCTTGAAATAGTGACCAAAGTGTAGCAATAGCTGTTGCTCGGATAGCGGCGGCTGTTCGACCTGCTTTCCATCGCATATTTGGTAATATACATTCGTCAATTAATACTGTTAAATGTGGACTAATTATTAATGTTGTGTCCGTATCATCAATAAATTGAAGTAAATTTGCAATAATTAATAAACATTGATTTCGTATTTCCGAATCACGATCAGGATTCATGACAGTCCGTAAAATCTCAATAATATCTGGGAGAAAAAATCGATTCGATGATTCTAAAAGAAAAACACTTGTTCTTCTTTAATGAATCAAACAAAATAGCCTTGAATTTTTGTGAAACACGATCTGAAAGGAGTGTTGAAGTATATAGGGTAGAAATTTGTATNCCCCCCACAGACAGGGACAGAGAAATTAATTAGTTAGCTAGCTGATTAATTAATTAATTAATTAATTTCTCTGTCCCGGTCTGTGATGGTTTCTGACGTCTCTCTGTCACTGTCTGTGATGGTCTATGAATTATCTGTCATTGCCTCTGATGGTCTGCGAATTCTCTGTCACGATCTGTGATGGCTTTTGAAGGCTCTGTCACCATCTGTGGTGGTCTCTGAATTCTCTGTCACTGTCTGTGATAGTTTCTGAAGTCTCTCTGTCACGATCTATGGTGGCTTTTGAAGGCTCTGTCACAGTCTGTGATTGCCTCTAGAGACTTCATGCACCATAATACAGATACAGACCGTGGCAGAGAACCTCCACAGACCGTCACAGACCGTGGTAGACGGATTCCAGAAAACGAGCTTTGTCGTGTTTCACATTTTTAATCCCACAGGGATTGCGCTAACAGCTTTTGTTTTTTGGAACGGTAATTGCTCAAGTAATTTTCTAGCAGACGATATATCTTAGAAAATCAAACTAACATGACTGGACGAAAAGTCCACGGAAAAGCAAGGCTTAAAAATCATGGTTTCTAAGCAATTTCAGCTGACGAAAACGATTATATTATATTTTACACTTCGATCCATTATACATACAGAAAAAGTGGCATTCGTTCGAGTTAGATCATGTATATTGTTACTTTGAACAATAATACTCAAGGAAGGATATTACTCTTCCTGAATGACACTTGGTGTTTAAACTCCACGCCGACTGAAATATATCTTACCTGCTTGCATAATAAATGTTTCGAAGATAAAACGATCTCGACTACTTCTTAACCAATCATTAGATGTTTGTTTAAGATCATCAAATAATTGTGAAGCAAATTTTTCATACATTTGATTTAAAGAACTATTTTCAAATGTTTTCGAGGCTAGATCAGTCAGTGTTTGTTTACACTAGGCATAAAGAAAAATAATAATAAAATCAGATAATAAATCTTATTTTCTTACCTGTTGTTTTAATTCATCATTGTCAACAATTGATAAAAGACTCAAAATACATTTAAATATCCGATAAGCGTAAGGTTCTAATTGTTGTTGACATTTTTCAATTAGAAGTCGACAAATACGTAAAAGTTCGTTCTGTATTGGTAACTTAATACGAGAAAAATCGATGAAAAGTTTTCGTCAAAAATAAAGTTCTATTTTAATATTTACTTGAAAATTATCAGTATAATCAGATTTAAGAATAATTGTAAGTAGTTGGTCCAGAATTTTTCCAGTTTGCATTAATTCATCACATGTCACACCTGTCAACAGTGGCGCAAGTAAACGAAGTAAACCTAAACTTGAGGCTTGTTCAAAATGTGGTCGAATTAAATTAAACCAAATATTAATCGGTACAAAATAGCCAATATTAATTAATGCTTGATTTATCTATTGTTTTGTAACACAAAAAAAATTTAATTTGCTTCGAAAATAAAGAAATATTTTCTCTTACTTTTTCACGAACTATTGGTTCATCGTCTACAAGTGCTTTGGAGCAAACTTGAAGTGTATCTTCTAAATGTTGCGTTATCGTGTCTTCAGCTTGCCATGTGAGAATAACAAGTAATTCAGAAGACTTCATACGTCCTGATACAACCCAATCAGTTAGATCATTACGAATAGCAGGAAGAATTCGTACTACATTTCTTTTAACTAGTTCTCGACAACCCACATTTGGCCGTGTCACTGAAATATTAAGGAAATTCAGTTAATAAATGTACATGAAGATAGGCATTACAATCAGAGAAATTCATCAAGCAGACATAATTTAAATAGACGCCAAAATGTTTTCGTACATACCACGAATGGCTAGTGGAGACTCAACTTTATCTTATTATCCCAATTGATAAATGTAATAATTACACCCAGTTGTTACTAATTTATCATAGGCGTTTGAGAACTTGATTAGAAAAAGCAGAACACACACAAAATCAATTAGTTTGAACTATATTTATCTATTCTTTTGCAGTTTTTCATTGTTTTATCACTCTCAATTGTCAAGAGATTTACCACCGTGCATCACTATTTACTTATGATTTGAACAGCTTTCTATTACAAATAACAATGACGTACAATTGACTGATGGAATCAATGTACTGAAATAAATTTCTTCTATTCGTACCTAAAAGGATATGGTTCGATTGCATGTTATGAATGTATGATATAAGAATGACTCTTACGAAAATACGAACAAATATCAAATAGTCAATATGCGTTCCCATATATTTCTGGATGGCCTATACATATGAAATCATAGTTGATCATTTATTGCGGTAATACCAAGTATATTTCAAGGATGAGAACCTTCATCTCATATTATGATGAAACTAATTACCATCAGTATGACGTACAGATGAGATGAGATATCAGAAATTAATCGAAGACATAATTCACTCGATAGGTAATATTGTGTCATGAAGTGATGATAGGCAAGACACAGAAAATAAGGTAAATTCTTTCTTAAAATCGAAATAGTTTTGCATGTACTTCGACAATCACAATAGAAACCAAAATTCTGGAATGTAACTTTTAATATTTCGAATAGATTTGAAAATGTCTTGACGATTTTTGGTAAAATTAGAGTAGAACAAGAATTCTAAAAATATTTCTCAATGATGTTTCTATCAATTACTCAACATGAATTATGGATAATAGTGTTTGCTAAAAGAAAATGCATATTTGACAGCAAATAATTGACATTCGCATTTCCTGTAGAAAATCAAGCATACATCGATAAGCTACATATTGTCAACTGTCAATTATTGTCACATCTATTTCAAGAGTTGTATAAAAATTGATGAATTTTTTCACTTACAATTAGGTGGATATTTTTTTGGAATATTTGGAAAATTAATTTGATCTTTAAGATCTTCTTCATTCTCTTTTTCATATTTTAAACCTAAATAAACAAGGAAAATATTTTCGTATATATATTTTTTTCAATTTTCAACATTACCAACATCCCACCAAAGTGAATCTGTTGTTTCTCGAATTTCTTGTATCTCATCCGTATAGCCAGTTAATAAAAGCGGTAACATCATATGAAAATATGAATAACGATCCCGTAATTCAAGCATCCATATGCCAACAACATTAATAACAGCAAGACGTACAGTACTTGTATGATCAAAAAATCGTTGTGCTAACGGTGATACACTTTCTTCAACAGATTTATTATTTCCATAACGAATAACATTTCCTGGATAGCAAAAGAACAAAAAAGATAGGTCAAATTAATATTAATCTATAAAAAAAATATTTACCAAGCGCATTGATTGCTTCAACACGTACTTTTGCATGTTGATGTTTCATAGTTTCTATAATTGGTTTAACAAGATGTTCAGACATAAGATGAAATTTTTCATGACATTTTGCTGCAAGTTTTGATGTTAATTCGCAACTTAATTTTCTGACTTCAGGATATGGATCAGTGATAGTTCGTTTTAATACTGCGATCCATTCATTTAAATATAATGCTAATCTATTTCCATTGGAATATATACGACAAATTTCAGATAGAATTGAAATAGATTTTAAACGTATTTCTTCGGACGGTTCAATAATATCATTTCCTCCGAGTCGTTGTACTAATGTTGGCATTAAGGAGGATAATATTTTATCGATATTGTTTTCATCATTACAATATTTAGTAATATACATTGATATATATGTTAATGATAGATCCCGATTTTTTTCAGCTGGATCGGAAAATATTCGTAGTATAGATTCGATTGTATTCGGTGGAGGTTGAATATGTTCATTATTGTCAGTGATGGCTAATGATGATTTAAGATCATTGCATAGATTTTGAAGAGCTTTTTGTCGCGTAATTTTATTCGGATCGGCAAGAAGAACAATATTACGGTTCATTTCACTTTCAGTGAGCATCCTGAGAACAGTAAATTATCTTATCTTAAGAAAATTTATACGAAAAGTGATTGTAGAAGAATCCAGAAATAACCATGACTTTCATACGAAACTGTTTTTTCTAAGTTGTCGTCATGAAAACATTGTAAAAATTCACCTGCATACTAGATGTCACTCGAATACAATATAGATTATTTCATTGAAATATATATTGAAGGACTACGTATGTGTAGAGTCATTTTTTGAAGGTCTTAACATGAGTTACTAATCCTTGAGATTTTAATTTGTTTTTATTATTGATTCGCTCGATTCTATGAATCGGAAATGATAAATCATATATCTATATCATTTAGTTGTACGGGTTGAAATTGGCATTGACCACTGTTACGTATATTATACGATTCTCAGGTTAGGTCATATCTTAGACTTATTCTCAACGAATAGCTTCACAAATGGTCTTTTTACAATGATTTTATTTTTGATATCAATCAATAGATACTCAAATAACATTCTGCGACTATTTCGATGTAAACAGCTCATTGATGAAAAAAATAGAAACATGCAGCTTCTGTTATGAGTTAACGGTGGAACTCTATAAAAATGAATTTGGTTTTTTATATTTTAAAAATTGAAAAGAAAACAATAATGATTTGGACACACTTATGGAAATGAAACACTTTCGATTTCAATCATCTCCATCCTTATGTTTGTAAGTATGTAGCTGAATATCATCGTCAAAAAACGATTCATGATGAAGTAGATTCTGTATTCTATACAGGTAAAATGATTTCAATAGTAAATACAATTCTAGTAGATATGTTCGAGTAATAAATGAAACATTATTGTTTTTATGTCTCGAAAAAAAGAGTGGCAATAAAATATGAATACCTTGGTCAATAAACATGACTTATTTCGAATTTACAACTAAACTTTCGTACACATTGATCTTTAATTCGAACAAGTATTGGAATGAAATTATATCAATAGCAATATCACGAGAATCGATCGTATTTTCTGATGAACTTCAAACTGTACAACAAACCGTCGATGCACTGACTAAGAACAGGTAAAAAATGTAAATAATGGTATACGATGTCTCTCATTATATCCAACAATTGTATAGAAATAATAATTAGTATTTAATAGTCTGCTTCAAAACACATTCATATACACTATTACAACATCTAACACGAACAAAAACTGTTCATTCATTCATAAAGCCGTACAAGTATTTTATTTTTATCTTTTTTGTTGCTCTTTATCTGTTCGTACAGACTTTTTAGCTTTCGTGTCAATATCTACTTGCATGTAAACTAATATTTATTTGTCAAATATTTAACTATGAAATTCACAATTTTCACAATGAATGGATATTACAAAAAAATCACACTTCAAAGTACTGTTTTTTTTCTAATGATATTTCCTAATGATAATTGATAAAATATTGCCGAAAATCCATGACATCTATCTTTGTTGTAACAATTTGACAGAGTGCTGCTCTCTACTACAAGCACATATTGAAAGTGGCGTCAGCAGCACAGTCGACTAGTTATTTAAATAAAAAAAATCGCAATAATACCAATCAGTGAATCGATTTATTTTCTTTCTTCTAGATTCGAAATATCATATTTTATTTTATTCGATAAAATCTCACGTGAGAGGTTAAAAAGGCAGAGTTCATTAACCTTGTCCGATTATTGAAAATTATTCAATCACTATCATAAAATGTCCAGATCAACATTACATTGTTCGTGTAACAGGTATAAAGTGCAATTTTTGTTTTTGATTGCTATAGATAGCTTCAAATTAATTTCTCGAGATTAACAATGATTTTAAATAATTTTACTAATAGTTCAAATCCTGGTGCTTGTTAGTGTGATACTTCCTTCATTTTTTTGTTTGCAATCTTCAATCGATAAACAATTTATTTTGCTTTTGAAATTAACTTGAGGTGTTTTTGAAGTTAGATAAATATCTTGACGGTGCTTCAGATTAATTGCATCTCTTGATTCTCACACAAGGATATACCCTGATAATATGCATAGTTTTCGATTGTTTTTGGTTAGCGGCGGGGGGGGG